TCTATTTTCCCTACTTTTGAGGAGCCATATTTTCTATTTTTTCAAAATTCTCCCGCTTTCTTCCTACTGATGAACTATTCCCAACCTATACTTTCGATTTTCGAATAAAAACGGGTACCTCAAAATTATGGTGAACTGTGCCTTTAAGTGTCCGCTCAAGGCGACCCTTAAGCTCTCAAAGAAATTAGTGAAACGTGTAAATATGAGACATATCTACATGAATGTTCAAGATAAAGCAAGCTCGTTAACAACGGAGTCCTGGCCTCGATCGGTGACAACGCTAAAATAGGATACCTTCTGATGAGTAGAATGGTAAAAAAAACAAAAAAAATTATCAAAAGTTAGTAGAAAAAATTTTAAAAAGGTCACTACTCTAGCATGGTTGCCATGATAGGATGAAGTGTTTGGGGCGTTAATAGGTCCCCACTGGAGGATTCCTCACCCCCGCTCCCCCATCTTTCCGGAATCGACTTGTACTCCTGTACAATGACTAGCTGTGGCCTGCCAATGCACAGGTCAGTGGTTTTATCCTCCAAGACGAGTCTGGTATAAAATAACTGACCCCGCGAGGATGGAAAGCAAGGTTGCCCTAGAAGACTGTATATCAGGGATTGGATCCCCCGGCTATGCGTGGTGTTGTAGGGCATCACTTGCTTCAACACCGCNNAAAAAAAAAAAAAGCCAACTAATCCTTTCTCTTGCAAAAGAACAGAAAACTTTGGTCGGGGATGAAGTGCTGAACCTACTGAATGAACAAAGATTCCCACCTTCTCCCCAGCACCAACGGATCATATGTGATTGTTTGTCTAGTATGAAACAATGGTCAACACAGTCTGCATCCTAGACGGCCATGCCATAGTGTCACATTTTCGGTTAAATTGTTCGTTTGATTTTTAGACCGATGTACAAGAATATCCCACGGAAGTTGAAAGTCTGGATAATCGCGTGAAATGGGTGCGAAACGTCACAAGCTCCTCGGTCTGTAGGGTTTCTTTCGTACTAAACTAACTTTTTTTAAATTGATTTTTTAATCATCTTTGGTTTTCCATTTCGTTCTTATGTGATCAATAAGGAAAAAGTCATATCTTTTAAATTTTAATAATACCAAACGTTAAGCTCTAGAAATCTGGAATTAGACTATGTGAATCATTTAAAATTTGACTTGCTAATTCTGGCGAATACAAATGTTACCACAAGAAATATGACCTAAAAGCATTGTCCCTGACGCTACTTGTACGTTTGGTTGAGGCGGGTTGATTTAGAAATCAATCTTTTTTCATACTACTTAAACCTGGGGGACGGTCAAGTCGTGCGTCCGAGGACGAGCGCGGCAAATTGCGCGGCGAAATTCATACCTATTCTGACGACTTTGGCGCCTATTATTTGTGCCCAATTTTGAAGTACAGTAGAAAAGTAGGATCAGCTGACCTTACTAATCTACCCTACTTCAGATTTGGGCCCCAAGGATAGGCGCCGGAGTCGTCCAAATTCGCCACGAACTTCGCCGCGCAATTTGCCGCGCGCACCCTCGGACGCACGACTTGACACACACCCCTTAAACCTCTACCAGGAGTACTGTAAGAGTAGAGCATTTGTGAAGACAAAAAACGCTGCTCACCTGCATGCAAGGTCTATAGATAACTTATCCCAGGACATGAAAGTTACTGTACCGTTTCGTGTTGACGTATTTCCGGCGGATATTCCCGGTAGGATAAAAATTTCGGCTCAAACCGATTGCATAGGTGAGATACGGAAATATACACGGTCGCAACTAAAATTAAAACATTTTTATTCCGAAAAATTATCAAAGTAACGCTTTTATTGACTAGTGGTTCAGAAATATACTGGAAAAGAGTTTCATGAATTTAGTTGAAAGCGGTCTGGAAAGAATTCCAAGAAAATAGAGACTATAAACCAGTCTCGTATACCCTTGAAGCATACGAAAAGAATGAACACAAAAACAGGTATCTCCATTAAATACAAATAGTTGAAAAAAAAGATAATAAATAGAAATGATCTCCAAAAACTAGGAGTTCCGGCAGTGGGTCAAGAGATGCCGTCACTTAGCGCGCCCGAGTAAGGTCACGCATACGGCTACACCAGGTGACACTGTGCTTTGCGGGTAATTCTTAACGTGGTTTCAGCTCCGGCAATTGCTTAAAAGTTGTTTGGACACCCTTATTTTTCAATACGATAATGCCTACCTTCCTTCGAAACTTGTTCCCTTCCCGTCCTTTTCCTTCTCTTCCTTTAAACATGAACACGGAAAAGTAAGGTCATTTGAGGTTAAAACACCCAATGAGCTACCTTTGGCTGAGCTCATTGGGTGTTATGACCACAGATGACCTGCGCCGGAGGCGCTTGACTCTCAGCCCCATGTCTGTGGCAATCAGCTCATTATCAAAGACCTCTGTGTTACCAGATACAACGACATTCTGTGCATGGATTCTACTCGAGTACGTCTAAAAGCTCGAAGAGATTATGATGATTACATCCATGCTAGTTGGATTACAATGCCTGATAATCAGAAATACATCTGCACGCAGGTAAACGACCCTTAACTCTTTTCTATACTTAGCGATCATATAGCCGCGCTTCTGAACGAAAAAAACGAAACTAAGCACGACGTGCATCGACTGACGCCGAACGTCGCCTCGGCACACGGCAAGTGCTTGTCGGCGACTTAGTTTTGCATCTGATAGTGAGGTACAGAAACGAAAATTCAGTACGACGCTCTTACAGTAATCCGGCACAGCATAACACGCAAATTCTCACCCGTCTCATATACGACGTGTCGAAAAAAGACCTTGGGCAAGGCAACGGTGGTGGGTAAGCTAGGAGGTTACTGTAAGAGCCGAGTGCCCGCACCCAATTTTCGTTTCTGCATTGTGAGGTAGCCAGGAGCGAAATGCCGCGGTTGAATTACAGGGACTTGTGAAAAGGAGTATGATGTATAAAGCAGCGGTGATGACATTTCCTTGTAGGGACCCATAGCGGACACCGTTGAAGACTTCTGGCACATGGTATTCACGGAGAAAAGTAATGTTATTGTGATGCTGTGTAATTTCGTAGAAGGTGAGGTGATACCAATAGTTGGGATTGCTTTTATATGTTCAAAAGCCTTACATCTGTGTGCTTCTACCGAGAATCGCGCGCAGGTGAAGGGAGAGGCTTGAATTTCCTGTAGAAGGACACAGTAGTCGCCGCGAAGACACAGCCGCTTGCCGTGGGAACGCGTACCTACAACCCCGGGTACGCGAACTTCTCCCTGAACACGGCGTCGCGCACGCCGCACCCGCCGCGTATCGCAGGATTGCGATGGAAGATCGGAGCGCGCAATTTGTGAGGTAGGGAGTCCTTTAATTATTTGAATTGGCTGACCGCTTTCTTCAATTCCAGTGCGGTCTTGATCGTCGCTAGTATAGGAGGAGTCATTTCGATTAATTAAGACTGATAAACATGAAAACGAAAAAGAAACAGAAGAAAAAACGATCAAATCCAATAAAAAAGCACGGCAATCAACGAAAAATATCGCGTCCTATCGATTGGCGGGGAGGCGGGGTGAGTACGGTAACTGCAGTGACATTTGCCGCATGCCGCAAGAGAGAATGCCGCAATCGGGCAGAAGTTCCGTCACCCCTACAACCCCTTTACACCTATACAGGGATATCGATTACCCACCCGCGCACAACAGTTACCATTTATCAGGACGGCAGGGTGGTTAGTGTATGCCATACAAGAAACTGGGCATCAGCTCAGTTCGAGAAAAAAACAAAACTTTTTCTCTCCCTCTCCTAAGTCTACGTTCCGAAAGAAGTTAACTGGTAGAGCAGTTGAAGGTCATACACTTTTAGGCAACCATGAAAAGTGCTTTCCGTATTTCTGTGGGGATGTCGATGTTCCAGCTACTTACGGTAGACTATACACCATAACCACGGTGCAATGCTATGAGCCCGATCCATCAGGATTCATTGTCCATAAGCTGTTAAAGGTTGAAGTTCTGTGAGTGAAGTTATTTGCTTATTTGTTTATACATCCACCTACTTAGATCCTACAGGAATACATGACGTCAGATGAATCATCGCCACAGTAGAACATAAGAACACTAAAAAAACTGAGAATACAAAATCGCTGGCATACGCCAATCTTCAAAGGCTGTAATGATAGCCTGTGACTGCCCCTATAGCCGGCGACCGCACCGGTTGGCCATGTTGCCCTCATCCCATATGGGAGGACAAAGTAAGAAGTTCGGCAAACGGTGATGCTAACTTCACTCGTGGACCCGCCTTATAGGCTACTGGCTGATTGGAGAAAAATGAGAGATTGGGCTGAACATACCGCTAAACAAGAAGCATTGAGCGAAGCAGAATTCGCCCCTAATAAAGCGGAGTTCGGGACTTGAAGCTTCGGTTAAGCTTCAAGACTATAAACGCACCAGGCGATCGAAAGTCTCTTCGTTTCAACTGTATTCTAGGGGAGAAAACCAGAGGAAATCTTAAAATTTTTAAAGGGAGGACTAAAATGGAAAATAATTAGGGGCAGATGTATTTCGTCTTCCTGTAATTGAGAGATAGAAGGATAAGTACAGAGTAAATATAAGCCCCTACATGCGATTACCGTCGCCGTCGCGTCGAAACTAGGCAAGTACACCGTGTCAGGACCCCTTGCATTCGAAAGGTTATACCTGAGGGTCCCGACACGATTAATTGATCTAGTGTTGACACACCGACTGCAATGGTGTGTACTGACTTACGTGACAATGGTCCAGAAGTATTTTGCCTTGAGTTCTACCTATTCAGTTGAGGTTTCAGTACCTTTTGGCAAGATGTCATATCTAATTTTTTTTTACGAGATCAAGCTTTTTTTCAAGCAAAATTTAGCGGCGTCTCCACAAAAGTACATCATCTCGCCTATGGTGGTTGGCCAGATCACATTGCCCCATCGACGCCGTTACCCACCGTCGTTCTCCTAAAACTGGCAAGAATACTTTGTGGTGGGAATCCCATTACAGTCCACTGTTCGGCTGGTATTGGTAGAACAGCAACGTTCGTAGGTGAGTACGCTCTTCTTTTTTTCTTGTAGAACTTTTCCCATCGCTAAACAAACTGCTTGGCCTATGCGCTCTTTATGGGTGCCGGTTCTTCTCTCCGAGTTCCCACGGCAAGGGACAGTGGTTCCGAGGCGACAACCGCATCCTCCCATCGAGGATTCAACCATTCCCTTCATAACGCGCAATCGGGTGAGGCGAGCGCGACGCGATATTCGGGGATAAGTGCCCACACCAGTTTTTCACACCCCACTCACCGGGTCAATAATGAGGATCAGGGATCCTCGGCTAACGCGAACGGCTTGTCAGGCTGACCACACCCGCTGTTGTCGGTGGCTCCGCAGAGCGATAGTGGTGTATCTCCTTGAGCACATCCACCAATTCAATGATGCCTATGCAGCCGGTATTGTCATCCTTGTTTTCAGCCATAAGATGCACACATTGGCTAGACCCTTCTCTGGCTTCATTTAGGAATCGACTACGCCGTTCAAAAAATCATTAAAAATGCCAACACTTCAATGATAGACGTGCTGAAAGATTTGAGGAACCAGCGTCTTCATGCTATACAATCAGCTATACAGTATACCTTCCTTCATGTTTGTATTATTGAAGTATTCATCGAGGTGAGTTTATGGCCATTGAAGCCTATGCCAATAAGTGTATTGATCCCGTACAATTGATTGATTCTCGCTCAGGATGGAGTTATAACTTGGGATGGAAACGTGCAAAAGTTCTTTAACGCATACAACCGCATGCTGGAGAAGTATAAAAAATCATGTCCCCCGAATCAATAAGAAGAAGGGCCCGAAAAGAACTAGCCAAGTGAAAGTCTAGACTCAAATTGAAAAGATTTATGCGTATAACAATTGATAATAAATATTATTAAATCTTCTTCTGGCAGACCAGTATTGAGTGAAGGGTACATACTTCAACGGTTCCGTAGGGATGTGGCAAGCAAAAGCAAGCTGCTAATCAAGTCTGCTGAAAAAAAAGAGAATCTTCGGTTAAGTTCCATGGGCAACTTTGATATTTAGTACTTTTGAATTCCGAGAAAGGAACGTTAAATATTGGACTTTACGGAAGTATTGCACTTGGGGACTCCTTGCAAGTTTCTAAAAGAGTAGGCTGGAACAACAACAAAACAACTGGAGACCCACAAACGAAATCAGGCTTAAAATGTTGCCAGGAGCGAAATTAAGAATGAAATGGGAGAAGAGATGGAGAAAAAGAGTAGGTATGAGACATCGTGGTTGCTTCATGGAATTCTACCAGCACATTAACCAAACCTCCACGAAATCGTGACTGCAGCGGTTTGAGTTGATGGGTAACTAGTTTCCCATATCCCATTTCCTTGTTCATCTAATTACGCAGAAAAAGGATTCAAAAGTTGGCGAAGCAAGTTATTATGAACGAAGATTTGGAACGCATCCCATATCCTACCGTAACCTCGAGACTACTTCGTACTTTACGACTGGTGCTAGTTCGAATTGATGGAGGATTATTGATTACGAGAATTACGATCTTGCTGAGTTTTTCGTTATTGTGCGTGCATGAATGTGAAACCTTACCTCATCCTGAAACATTATACGTACCTGTTTAAAATTGATTCTACTGGCTAGCAGACTATTTTCGTCTACGAAACACTGAGCATAGACAGTCTGAATCAGCTCTGCGTATTCATCTCTTACATCTAGAGGTACAGGTTCGAGCATACTGTGGCGAGTCTGAATCAAGGCGACTTTGCGGCGTGATCTAACAAGATTCACATTCGAAACACTCACTTTAATGTGATCCTTCACCGAAGTTGGCGAATAGCAGCTGCTAAAATTGCAGTAAGGGCACAAGAACATTGGTTGTTTTATGTGATGCTGGAATGAAGTAGCCAATGTAATAGCAATGGACAATACTCATCACTAGGAATTTACCTGTAGTACATGACGTTCCAAATGTTTCACATTAGTCTCGAAACATAACCGACATGTGTTTCGTGATTGAGTTCGAGCTAAGAGTGGCGATTGATCACCAAAAATGGAACCCGTAGTTACTGGCCGATCTCGTCCAACTTGAGCAATACTTCCAGAACATACATCTAAAATCGAAAAAACGATCCAAGCAATTTCGAGCAGGTGGTATGATTTTAATGATGAAACACGCTCCCGTCATCCACCTATCTTCAGGATATTTTTAGAAAAATACTTCCAAAAAGGAGCAAATCAAGCAGGAGCGAATGACAAGAGGCCCTCTCTCAAATTGAAAAAAAAACTGACATAAAAAAGTATTGCCGCAAACAAAAAAGGCAAGTTGAACTTTAATAAGCAATAAACAAATCTACAAAAGTATTCATAAAACATAGCAGGAATGTGAGCAATACCTGTTGAAGGAGTCATACGTATTGATTTTCCGCTACTGACACAGTTCAGTATATCGATTAAGCAAGCTACTACATCAGGATCTTGCCGTCGGAAAATTTGATGGTCTCCAAAACAACTAAAATCACTTGTGTAATGATATTCTTCAGGTGTCTGTAATGATTTCATTCTAAATCCTGAATGCGTAAGTTAACTAAATAAAAACAAAGTCAGATAAGGCAAGCTCACCTATATAGGAAAGCATTCATTTCGCTTTCATACTCCTCTTTGCAAGATATTGGTTCACTCTGCAACTTGGACAAAATGAAGCAAGAAATAAAGGAAAAGGGAAGAATACTGCGACAAACATGAAAATTATCCCTACCATGACATTGTGGACTTTCTTGATATGAACCCGAATGTTAGAAATGTGATACGTTGAAGAAATATCGCATATCGGGCATCTGTATATTGGCCGCCGAAGATGACATCTTAATGATAGTAATCTTGACGATAAAAATGACTGAAAAGGTAGGGTTTTAAGCNGTGGACGAAAACACCCGAATTTTTTCAGCGGAGTAGAGCTAAATGGATAGACTCAAGACAAATACTGAGACCTACGAGTATATGTGCATCCTCCGATGAGTGGATTTGACGTGGAGTTCACAAATACGGCAATATGCTGTTCTTCCAGGTCGCAGTTCGGGTTCCTAAATGAGAGCGTGAAAGGATGGGTTCTGACGTTGAGTACCGAGATAGGACTCGATATTTAGGCCACATGCGCGACAAAGCGCCATTTTGCTTAACACCACCTTTGTCCACTCGAGAGCGTAAAACAAGGAAACACACGGTTACGTAACAAGACCCATGAGTACTTAGGAAATCTTTTTGAAGTTTCAGAACACGCAAACAGTAAACAGATAGATAAAGAGCCCCAAACCAGAGTTCAACTTTAGATTTGATTGGGTACATAAAATCGCACGGAAGCTACATGTATGTGATCGGTCTAAAAACAGTAGATGAGTAAGTCATACCACACTATACTGCCTTCTGTTTACGTCGATATTCATTTCGCCACCAAGACTGGAAGCTTGTTGATCCCACTTATCTCAAATATAAGAAGACGATTACCAGTTCCTCACGTACAACAATTGACATACCGGCTGGAACAGGGTTACAGTGTGATGCCGCAGTTGGATATTCGCTACATAATCCGCTACTACCGCTAGGGTACCTGAAATGCGCATTACCTCCAACCATACAACTAAGTGCTCCTGCATCTGATCTATTTCCTTAAAAGACGGTTTACGTGAAACATTTGTAAAGCTAGAACACTTAGAAACCAGAAATGAATATTATAATCGGATGTCGGTATTCAAAACGAAGGAAAGTGGCATAATTTCACTATAAAGGAAAAAATCGAATAAAAGGACGATATTAAGACGACCCTTATTTATTTCGCCACGAGCTCGAAGACCATCGGGAAATGCGTCAACTGTGGCGAGGAGTGAATCGGCGTTCGATTCGTTCCAGGCTTTTTACAGGATGTCTTAATCACAGTGAGGCTTTACGCAGGTATTGAACTCGAGGTTGCTTCATTTTTCATGACGTCAGTAGGATTAAGGTCTAGGTTTTGCAGTTTTGTAAACTTGGCAACGGTCTGCGACACTACATTTCTTGATAATTCAAACAACGAGAGGTGTTGGTCACTCTGAACCACTGAAAGTGCAAATATACAATAGAACTGCGGTAGGGTGATGAATTCATCGATGAAGGGAAAAGCAAACTGCTTGGACTGCTGAAAAACTGAAACTGGAAAAGCAAATGAAAACAGTTACTATGTTTCCGTGTCATTTGTAAATGACATTCCACTGAATCAGATAAAAACAGCACTTCAGGAAGCCACGCCGACCATTGGTCAAATAATGGTTATTCTACTTGAACAAATTGGAATGAAGGAAACGAAATTTACCGAAAGCAAGTATCCATTTTGATCGCCTTCCTTTTTCTATTGATAAGATTATGGTTAGGAGCCGAACCATCAACCTGATCAAGACCTCCAGTGCTCCAAAGATTGGAAACATAGTAACTGTCTTCAGACACCTAAAAAACATTGGTGTTCTAAATGTGACAATGTCCTATTCGCTACATAACAGCTACCTATTCGATATCAAACCTCATTATCGATTTCTTCACCTTCTACCCAATCGGGAACGCCCGAAGAGATTTCTTGTTCGATACCACCCCATTCTGGCACCTATGGATTGAGAGTGCATGAGATAAGCAGAGCAATACTAAATTGAAAGGACAGCTGGATAGATCGTACTTACGTCGTCCTCGTACCCCTCGAGATCAATAGAAGGCGGGGCGTCATTCAGCCAGTTCGGATCGTCGGCCAGACCGGATGCGTTTCTTGGAGGAACTTTTTCATAAATAATGTTTACTCGAACACGTTTGATCCTAAAATCACACAGCTTCCCTTTGCGGGTAGTAAAATACGGTAATACATGTTGTATCGCTTACAAAGAGCTAACAAATACCCTAATTTGTGAACAACTGAAGGTAACTATGTATCGTGGTAAAGAGCAATGGTAAGCAACTATGTGGATGCATCGATTTCTGGAGTGAACGTCTCTTTTATTTCCTGTTTATTTGGCTATTTCCTGATCTCTGTTACATTGGTTATTTATAGAACTCCCGTAGCCATGAAACATGCATCTTCAAGTGAGAAGGAAACATATGGTATAACCAGGAATGTGAAATGTTGTTAATATCAACGCAGGGCCCCAAGGCAGACTAATGCTCTTACTTATAGCGCCGTCTCATAGGGTCTAGCAAGGGTGAAGACTCGTAGCACTCACATTTGCTTAGGCAAAAAAGCAGTTACGCTTATTGATCTTTGACAGATGACTTGCTCCAGAAGTATGTACTTTTCATCCAACAAACGTACCCTCTATTGTTCTTGACGTCGACGAAACGCACCGTGGGCTGGCCAGACTCTGCTATGTCGAACATATGGTCCCGTATCTAAAACTCCTAAAATACTCTATTAAATCTATTCATAGGAAGGCACCCACTGCATACTAACACATATGTATAGGTAACAACTCTTCTATAGAAAATTATGGCAGATCAAAGACTAGCTTACCTCCTCTACGAGCTTATTGGATGGGTTCATATTTGAAAAGTGCTACAGATGATGTCGATGCCGAAGGTTAAGTGGCCCCTTGTGTGGTTGCACAACCATTTTGCAAATGACGGCAATTTGTCGACTTTCAAGGCGCGAATGCTTGACCTGACAGTGGGCAGGTAGGGGTAGGAGGTTGATGGGAACCGATGTCGAGAAAGGTAGTGGTTATGGCACACTTACCATCATCCCCCCCCCCTCCTCAGGTATGAAAAGAACAAGGATTTGGTATGTATCCAAATTTCTACCGTAATCTTGCTACTGTGACTATAAGCCTTTTCCAAACTTCACCACTGTCTCCATTAACATTTTGCGAACTTACTTCCAAATTAGAGGTATTTCACGAAACTGCCAACAGAGAAGGAGTTTGGTAGCATCTTGGTAAGAAACTGGTCTGACCTACAGGACCTGGATAATAGAAGTTACCTTCAAGCTCGAAGACTGTGAGGCGAAACCTTAGCCAAACTCACATTTCGATGAGATTCAAAGCAAATCCAATAAATGTATGTTTAGAAAAATAGGGTTTCATAAGTGAATAGTCTCCAAGCATTGGTCTGACGTATGTATGTGGAAGTGGGTACCATATTAGGGTTGAAGCAGTCTAGAGAAAGAGCGGCCGCACTTATTGAGAAATTCCTCTTCTCGCCGTAGAAGGCAGCTGTTGCTGGTTATTCTCGCAATCCAAGGGATTTTTACGCAAATATTACCCAAGGCTGAGATTCGTTTAGCTCGACTACATAGGTTCATTGGCCTTCTGTAGGAGACCTCGGTAATCCATGAAGCTTAAAGCGATGGAGTCAGTTATTGGACCACTACTCCTTGTCTTTTCGGTGCCAATATTGCTTACAATTTCTGTGAAGTAGGGCCGTTGGGTTTCGCGTTCAGTGGGTCGAATGTGGTTCGGAGAGTTCTCCAGACAGTCTTTTTCCAGGGATGGGTTGCCTGGAAACCCTTTGCGAAAAATTCCAATGTTGAGATTGACAGATCCTTGAAATTTTCTATCAGATTGTATTGTGTCCCTAGTGAGATGTGTAACAGTGGGTACCGCTAAATCGGGGTAAGGCTGATTACATTAGCGGGGGAGACGGGCGTTAGGAACGATTTTGGGCAATCGAATCGCCGCACGCGGCTGTCGCGGACCACTCATTCGCCGTTATTACAGCTCTAGCGTTCTTCATACAGCTCAATCGATACGCGATCATTATTTTATGCATAATTCTACTATTAGTACTTTTGTTCTTGTATTTCTTACCTACTGCTGCATCCTGCTACATTCATTCGCGCGCGACGCCCCTCTCACCGCGACGCGACCACTCCGTTCCTAATGCACCACACCCCATTAGCGGTACCCCTGGTTCCATCATTGCCTTTACCTCACGAAATGGCCAGCAACTATCCCACAATTTTTTTATTCAATTCTGTCCTTTTATTCTGTAGTCAAACCTGATATCAAATAAACAGTTGGGGAAGGAGGGAAGTTTATCCAATCGAATAGGGAATTCAGTATAAGTTTTGGTCTTCGATCCATAGTTGTATGTAAAGGCTCAACACGACATTGCTTCACCTGCTCTTTTCATGGAATTTATTATAAATTGTCATTGAGAAGTGTGCAATTCAGTGAATGGGCTTTTTCATTGCCATCGCTCTCTAATAACAAATTCTGCCCTTTTGTACCCATTGACTGAGGAATATGGCTTTAAGGTAGGCGGTGTCAATAAGATTAGCTCACTAAGCTTGTTTCCGCTCAATGGAAAAGAATTTTCAGAAGAGGAAATTCACTGCAGCCTTACCTACCTAAATAGTTTACTTTTTGAATGGTTCATTCTACCTCGATGATATATATTTCAAATTTTGCCATGCTCTATACTGTGGAATCTCTTGAAGAATCTCTTCATCTTAACACCCTCACTGTTGCACTTATTTGTCACCTGTTGGAAGAATGAATTTCGGAAAACTCCACAGATTTCGCTGTCTTACCATATACATTTTCTACATTTGGTCTTCGGTGTAGGTGAGAGGTGAAGTGGTAGCAGAACTGACCTCATATCTGATCCCAGGCTTATACCTGTCCCAGACCTATGTACAAGCCATCCGTACTCCCGTGGGTAGTTTATTCGGTACCAGGACTTGTCTGGGATGTTCAAAAGGAATGATTCGTCAAATTTCCATACGTCATTGTATAGGCCACATACGCATTCAAATAACTCTACGATTCTGAGCGGAAGCCAACAAGAAAGGGGCAAGCATCCTGAATGATTGATTAATGAGCGCTGTAAAACTACACCATATTCTGTCAACAACCGAGTTTTTTAAACGCTTGAGTCTCGGATCGATACCCGCCCATGCCGACCAAATAAGACTTGTCTGAGAGAACAAGAGCGCCGGCCTTTGCATGCAGCGGCTGGCCACGACTATGAACAGAGTCGAACGTGGGGGCACCATCCACAAGATGGGATTGATCACGCCAGTCTTTTCATCCTTTGATATCCTGAACAAATCCAGTCCGTAACATTCCAAGTAAACCCATTATTTGAACGTTTTTACTAATTATATGCAAGAGCAGCGCTGTGAGAAAGAAAACATGTAATAATTGATAAATTCACTGAAACACTTTAAAGTCATTTTGTAATCGCTCGCACAAAAAAGATCGTATAACCCATAATCTATTCGAGGTAATACAGAGGTGCCTAATGGTGAAGTTATCATTGCCTGTGAGCCGATGGTAAAATTACCAACCAGCAGACGCTATAGTTACTTGTCCTCGTTATGTTTGCTAAAGTGTGATGTGGTGCAGTGACAAGTGGCGCACTATCACACATTCATGGTGGCGTGTTCGAATCCCGGATCGATGCCCGCCTAGGCCAACTATGCCTTCCATCCCTCCGGGGTCGGTGAATTTCTATCAGACTCGTCTGGGAGGATAAAAGCACTGACTTGTACATCGGCTGGCCACCACAAGTCATTGTATAGGCCACATACACATTCAATACGCCACTATGATTCTGAATGGAAGTCGAATGCGGGGGAGCAGCCCTCACACGGGATTGATTAGCGCCCCAAAACTTTATCCTTTTTTAGACTGTTATGAGGCTTAGTTTTTGTGAAGCATGGCTACATTGAGGCACCACCCCCTCAGAACTCTGCAGCCACGATGACAGCTGCATTGACATTACGAGTGTTTCTCAATGTCTGGAGTTATTTCTCTAAATAACAGTTAAGAATATGGCTTTCCATATATCCATGCCTTTTTCCTAGAACTTTCAAGGTGCATTCTTAACATTCTCGGATGACATTACGAATAAAACACCCACTACTTTGTTATAGGTAAATGCCTATGCCCACTGATGCATTCCATGTATGATTGCTTTTCTTTCATGATAGCAATCTGCTCTACGTATTCGTTCTACTAACTCATTACAATGACGCAGTTATTTCACATTTACATTTCTCGACGTAATTTTGCTTATCCTAATGCTCTCCATATACAAGAAGGGAACTGCTTGCCGTAGGCACAGATCACTATAGAAATGAGAAATTTCTATCGATGATCACGATAGATATCTGAGAAAAATCCCCCTGCCAAATCTCTGGCGTTTCAGTATACCATAGGAGGTGCTGTCATATCGGTAAGATGAGTAAGTCGTCATAAGGGTTCAGAGACTGTATTGGGTAAAAGCCATACCCATAGCGGACGAGTTAAACGGCGTTGTAGAGGCTTCAAGTTGTTGTTCAACTGTTGGAAGTTCAAACAACTTGTCATGACCCTGGCGTCAGTGGAAGGCAGTTTTAGACAACTTAAGCTTGATGTAGTCAGCTCTTCGAGCAGCTGCAACAATTGAAATCTCGTCCGACTACGTCCGTCCATGCCATTTCCGTCATAGCAATCCCGTAAACCTTTTTTCCATTCTTTTAAAAAGCCTCCTTCATCGCGAAGTAGGCGGATTTCCTCGCTTTCTTTGCCATAGATGCACTATCCTACACCAACACTACCTCTTTTGAACCTGAAAGGGTACCTCCAAATCGTGAACTGATCCTTTAGGATTGTTGCTCGAGCAGCAATTTCAAGAAACGTACAATCCCAACTTCTGCTCCATTTTTTTAAAAAGAAGTCAGAAAAGTGAAAAAATCAATCAGATTTCAAGCATTCTTCAACTTCTCTTATTCAGTATTCTATGGCAGGGGAGGGATCTTTGGACGAGATGTCAGTCCATACGAAGGCGTAATGAGGTTATAGCTACTCAAAATGGGGTCCGGGAACTTCTCCCCTAACACGGCGTCGCACACGCCGCACCCGCCGCCTATCGCAGGATTGCGATGGAAGATTGGAGCGCGCAATTTGAGAGGTAGGGAGTCCTTTAATTATTTGAATTGGCTGGCCGCTCTTTTCAATTCTAATGCGGTCT